AGGCTTCCTTGTGAGGCTTGGAAAAATTCAGTAATTTTTTCATGACTGTGTCTCAGTTTCTTCATCTACACCTTGGTAGCATTGTGGGGTAAAAGTCTGTGTCCCTCCAAAATTCACATATTGAAGCCCTAACCCCAGTGTGATGGTATTGGGAGGTAATCAGGTTTAGATAAAGTCATGAGGGCTCCCATGATGGGATTAGTGCCTTTATAAGAGAAGGAAGAAACCGCTGACTCCTTCTCCAAGAGCACACACTGAGGAAAGGCTATGTGAACACACAGTGAGAAGGCAGCTGTCTGAAAGCCAAGAAGCAAGTCCTCACCAGACACCAAATCTGCTGGCACCTTGATCTTGGACTTCCCAGCTTCCAGAACTCGAAGAAATAAATTTCTGTTGTTTAAGCCACCCAGTCTGTGGTATTTTGTTGTGGCAGCCCAAGAAGACTAAGATGGACAGAGACGAAAAATTCAGTAATCTTACTGAGATAGTGTTCTTGAAATTACTTGTAAGGAAAGCATGTAATTTTTGTAACTCTACTCAAATGGTAGCATCATCCTCAGTTTCAGCACCAAATACCCAAATGACAGTCCAAAGAGACATTCAACTAGGAGGAAATAAACCCAGAAATAAGCAAACGGGAAGATAAACTACTTCAGTGAGCATCTACAAAGCAACTACAAGTTACCTGGAACCCCTTCCCTGAGATCATGAAGAAAGTCTTCCTACTACTATAGTCAACCGCAAATATGAACAATTGCTGAACCCACTTGGCAAAATTGGATTTATGACTCTATGGTCAGAAGCAGTTACTCAGCCATATAATAATCACATACCAACCTTTTACTACCATAAAGAATTTTGCTGAAAGCTATAAGTAATAATTAAGGTGCATCTTAATGTATACAACAGCTAAATTCCTAGAAAAATGCACAAAAATCAAATTTTTATTAATCAAATTGTTTATATTTGCTAGAAAAGCTAACCAAAAGAATTCATTTCCCAGTATATTTTATAGAGCCTAAATCTCATACATATCAGACTTGTTTGTGAATTGAACCTCTAATATTCCTATATTTAACTTTCCACCAAGTTAGAGTACATTATTTCCAAGTACTCTCTTTAACAAGTACACTTCTCAAACCATATGTCAACTTTCCAGTTGAATTTGTCACTTCCCTCCTACTCCATGGTTCAGGTTTCTATACTTCTATACTATTTCCAGGGCTGCAGTGACTCCTCTTCCATTCACATAAAGCTCCTGTATACTGCCCTTGAAGGCACTGACCATTCCTCTCTCTCCTAAGGTTCCTTCTGAGCCTAAGGATTATAACACAAGCACCAGGGACTTTCTGGAGTCCCTTAAGCTCCACTTTGGAAAGTAATGATTTGCTCCAAAAGCTTAGTGACTACAACTCAAAGGGGTTCAGCTTTGGGATCTGAAGCTTAGCTGCAGCTCCATTTAGTAACCAACCTTGGGAAATTAATTCCAGCAAATGTCTTTATTCTGTAAACGGGGGATAATGCTTTGACACTCAAAGGGATTGGGGAATTTTGTGATAGTAGCCTCACACCAGAATTTCATAATTTTTTAATCCCTTAACTATTTGTAAAAGGTATCAACTTCCATTTAACAGGCATTGAGCACTTACCATGTTCCCAAAACTGTTAGGTATTATGAAGGATAAACACAAAGGATATATAGTCTCTGTCTTTTAGAAGCTTACAATCTTAGTAGGGAAACAACAATGATAAAACAGTTAAGGGACAATGCAAGATGATGCATAATTAAGCATCAATATACCACAAGGCAAGAGCAGGGTGTGACTGATGTGAACTAAGCTGTCAGGGAAGGCTTCAGGAAAGGAGCTATGACCCCAGAAAAACTCCAGTTGAGCTAACCCATAAGAAAAAAACGTGTGTTTTAAGACAAACCCACATACCAAAAAGACTGGCTACACTAAGATTCTTAAAATGCATATTTACACAGGGCCGATAGGCATTTCTAAACCACTGATATCATCCCCTAAGACTGCCAACCCCACCTAGCTCTGCTCCAGCAACATTGGTCTCCTGTTCTCAAACACACCAAGCACACTTCTTTCTCAATGTTCTCTGCACCCTCAGTTCCTCTACTTGAACCCTCTTCCTGCAAACATCTGAATGGCCCGTTCTCTCACATCATTCAAAGGTCATGAAAAAGGCCTTCCCTCACCATCTTCATCATTCTCTAGCCCTTTCCCTACTTTATTTTTTTTTTAGCCCTATCACCACCTAAGAATAGTTGTTGATTTCTTTATTAGATGTCTCTTCCCATTAGAATTATTAGCTCCATGAGACCAGGGGGTTCTTTTGTTCACTAATATATCCCCTAGGGTTAAAACAGTTGCCTGGCATATAGGAGCTGCTCAATAAACATGAATAAATGAATATTAACTATATCTACATGCACACTTTTAAAAAAACTTTTCACCCATACCTAGACTGTATACACCCTAAGGACAGGGAACTTGACTTATATTTTTTAGAAGATAACTTAGAAATCATCTTATACAAACACCTTATTTTACAGCAAAGGAAACAGAGGCCCCAAAATAAGAGATTTCCCCGGAACCACACAGCTAGGTAAAAGCAGGGAGCTAAATCAATGATGATTTAAATACCTGTGTGACATGGTAGAATGGAACTACAGCAATGAGAACATATAAAGTAGAAAATAAAGAACATCCACAAACTGACACAGAGTGTAAAAAAGGATTATCAGTGGTACAGTTCTCAGCTGCCAAATTTTACAGAAAGGACCTACTCCACTCCTTCCTCTGCATACCCCCAAAGTCCCTATACACTGCTCCATTTCCAAATATCACTATCCTTAGCCAATTTGAAGGCAACCATCAAATAACAGGTCCCAGGAGTAAAGAAGGAAAAGGGGGCCGGGCGTGGTGGCTCACGCCTGTAATCCTAGCACTCTGGGAGGCCGAGGCAGGTGGATCGCTCAAGGTCATGAGTTCGAGAGCAAGACCCCGTCTCTACTAAAATACAAAGAAATTATCTGGACAACTAAAAAATATATATATAGAAAAAATTAGCCAGGCATAGTGGCGCATGCCTGTAGTCCCAGCTACTCGGGAGGCTGAGGCAGAAGGATCGCTTGAGTCCAGGAGTTTGAGGTTGCTGTGAGCTAGGCTGACGCCACGGCACTCTAGCCCGGGCAACAGAGCCAGACTCTGTCTCAAAAAAAAAAAAAGAAGGAAAACGGAAGAGGGTCTATTAACTATGACTGACAGAAACAATAATACACGCATACATAGCTATGCGCACACACCAAGTAGAATATGCTCATCAGCACCTACATCCAGCCTTTCCTCCTTACCATCAATGTTAGCCCACCTCACCTCAAGTCTCCCCACATTCCTCTATTTTTTCCATGGCCCTGAGCTTTTACTTCTCACAATCCCTCTGCCTGACGGAGTTTTAATGGAGAATAAAAGCAGACAAACAAAAGAATTCAAAAATAAACACCAGAGGGTCACTTTACCCAAACCAACAGAACAGGGTGGATTCTGCAAAGGAGACCAAGAAGCACACAACAAATAAGCTAGGCTTAAGTACAGCTCTGTCTCTAACACAGGAAGTTGGGCAGAGCCTCGAAAAGCAGGGAGCAGAGCATAGGAAGTCTTTTAGCACCACAGAGATTTCCAAGAGTGGTGTAATGGAGAGAGCCCAGGAATAGGAATTAGAAGACCAGGCTTTTAGTTCTGGTTTGACTAACTGGGTGGACTTATGCAAGTCACTAGTCTTCTCTAGACTTTTAATTCCCCATCTATAAAAAGAAAAAGGTGGTCAAAACATGTTGGTACTTGAATCCCTTCCAAAAAAAAAAAAAAAATGATGGAACTATTGACTCTCCTCCACCAAAAAACTAAACACATAAACTATTCTGCATAAGAATCTTCCCAGTCTATTCAAGTTAAGAACCCCTAGAAAAGATGTCTAGTCCCTTCTATTTCTAACATTTTATGATTCTAAGAGAATTAGGCAGATATCTACACAATAGCTGGTAGATGAGCATCATCATTTCATAGCAAGTATTTTCTGAATAGAGATCGAACCCTAAAACCTACGAAGGTCTCAAGCTCGTCTTCAAAGTACAAAGTCAACTGACATCATCAATACCTTTCCCATTCCCCACCCAAATCAATCAGCTTCTCCCTGAGTCTAGAACTCAGAAATCAGTCTTCTAATAGTCCTATAAATTTTTTTATAGCCCCGGACATTAAAGAGTTATTTGGTGTCCTGGTGATGTAGGATGCAATTGGCAAAGTACAGGAGGGACATGTCCGGTGTTTCTTCAGACTCAATAGCATGCTCCACAAAGTTAACGAGACAGCACCACCGTGTCCCCACAGCACTACCAAACTCGTGTACTTCACACACTCCTTGTGTAACTGATTTAACCCACAATCTCAGCCACATCCCCTTTCGGCTCTCTCGAGGAGTTTTCTTGCTTTTCGCTCCTTTCCTTCAAATGCCGCTTCCCTTCCCCACTCCAGCGTGTGCCGAGGGCTGCCAAAAAGGTACTCCCTCTTCTTGGGAGGTTTCCCACCAGGTCCCCTCGTCCTCGACTCAGCCCAGCGACTCTGCTCTGGGCAACAGACTCAGGATTTCCCGGCTTCCACTCCATCCCAAGGAACTAAGCAAGGGTTTGGAGAAATGGAATCCATCTGAACCATGTTCGATTTCCCCCCAAAACCTCGTCACTCGTCGTGCCCCTCGTCCCCTCAGGAATCAGGACCTCTCGGCACACCGGCGTCCCCCTGCACCTTTCTTCTCCTACCCCAAGCTCGCCCCACCTTCCAACCAGGCCCCGACCCGCCCTCTCCCACCTCCAACCCGGGACCCCAGGAAGCCCTCCCCTCTCCAAGCCGGGGAGCCCGGGGCCGCCACTCACGGCCCGGCTCCGCACCCCCACGATAACGGGGAGCCCCGTCCCGCGCGGTCACCTGCATCCCGCCGCCGCCGTCGGCCGCCGCCTCCTCGGTGCGCGGCCGCTTGCTCAGGCCGGGCTCGGCTCCGTCTCCTCCCGCTCCGGGAACCGGCAGCTCCAGCTCCGACTCCCGCTTCATGCCCCGGGCAGCAGCGCCGGGCCCGAGCTGAGGCGACTGCTGCGGCTGGGCGCCCTCCGCCATTCGCCCGTGCCCCCCTCGCCTCCGGGAGCCGGGCGACCCGCGACAGGCCACCTCCCCCTGGGCCTCGGCCCCGACTGTCGCGACAGGCGGGCGCGTGCCTGCCCCCGCCCCCCGCGTGCGTGCGTGCGTGCGCGCGCGCGGGTCCGGCGCCCCTCCGCGGCTCGCGCCTGCCGCTCCTGCCCCGCCGCCCGCTCGCCGGCCGGGTCGTCGGCTCCGGGCCGCTGGCGGGTCGCGACGGGCACTCGCACGCGCCCCCGCACGCACACGCGACACCCGGCCGGGCCCGCTGCGCCGCCCCGCCTCTCGCACTCCGGGAGCTCGCCCGCCGGCCCGCGCTCGCTCACTCACACTCTCCCTCACAACACGCCGGTCGAGGGAGGAAGGGGGCGGTCCGGGCTCCCGAGGCGTGGGGAGGGCTGTTTATTTGGGGGGAGGAGGGGCGCGAGGCAGGAACGAGCTGACTGGCCGGGATCCTCCGACCCGCCACTGTGGCAGCACCGGGAAGGCGGGGAGAGAGAAAGAGGGAGGGAGGGAGGGACCGAGATGTCGGACTCCAGCCTGCGCGGGAGGCTGTGGCGAGGGGGGCGGCGGCAGCGGCTGAGCCCGCGGAGGGGGTGGGGCCAGCGCCCTCGGCAAACTCCGCCGCCTCCGCGCTGGCCGCCCGAGGGAGGCCGGGAAGAGATCGGGGAAGCTCGGGAAGCTCCGGCACGGGCGCGGGATTGTCCTGGAGGCGCAGCGCGGCTGGAGTGCCAGCCTGTGCGGAGGGGGCGGGGCCGTAGCCGGGGGGCAGGCGGAGCTTGAGAGACCCAAGAGCCCGGGAGCAACTCCTGCTTGCAGAACTAGTTGTGCTGAATTATGACCTGAGTTCACCCATCTGGTCGCCTTGGTTCCCGGGAGGAGAAGGGGCACTCTGTGAGAGGTGGGGCTCTTTGCTTCCTTTCCAGCAGAAGAACGGGGATCTCGAGTTAAAAGGTCCAGGAATAAAACCACCCCTACATGGCTCTCCCCAGTTCTGACAGCTTTTACTTTTAAGCCTTAATTATTATCACATTCCTAAAGATGTTAATAATACCTGATGTTTGTAAGAGTTTTATGGTTTGCACAATGCATTCACAGGCCCGTTTTAAGGCTAGTGGTATAGGCAGAGTAAATACCATAATCTCCATTTCATTGATGATGAACCTGAAGCTTAGTTAAGTCCTGTAGCAAAAAGTGGCAAATCCAAATCGCAGGACACCAGATCATATTCTCTTTCTTTACACCTTGCTGCCTGAGTAGCACTTTATTGCTTACCAACTTTGTATAGATAGAGATATCTGTGCAATAGACAGATTATCTTTCCTACCAGACTGTAGGGAGAAGGACTGCATCTACTTTCTTGGGGTTCTATATTGTGCCCTGCACATTATAGGAATGAAAAAATGTTGCATGAATGACCTGGTTTCCAGTCTTGGCCTTGCCAACTAGCTTGAACAAGTTACTTCATCTCTTTGGACCCCAGCTCGATCACTGTAAAATGCAGAGATAGTTTGGATCAGTGGGTCTCAACCAGTAATGACTTTTGCCTTTCCACCACCCCCACATTTGTCAATGTCTGAAGGCATTTTTGATTGTTACAACAGGGAGATGCTGCTGGCATCTAGTGAGTTGTTACTCAATAGCCTACCATGCACAGAACAGTCCCCACAGGAAAGAGTTATCCATTATCCAGCCAGAAATGTCAATAGTGCAGAGGTTAAGAACACCTGGGTTAGAAGATTTCGAAGGTTATTTCCAATCAGTCTATAATTTGGCCTTTGAACTTGTGTTTAACCTGGCTAGAGCTCAGACAATACAGTAGCAAAGATCCCTGCTTAAAGTTAGACCAACCCAAGTTAGAACCCAGGCTTTACCACCTACTGCCCATGTAATGTTAGACCAGTGGTGACCAAGAATTTCTATATAAAAGGTGTTTAGGGATGCAGACTGGTTGGAAGGAAGGACTGAAGAACTTGACCTGAAGCTGAGTCTTCACATCAAGCACATTGTATTACTTAGGCTATGTTTTAGATCAATAAAAATTTTATATTGTCATTAAAAATAGACAAGTTTTAGCTCTGCCACTTACAACTCATGATGCCTTATGAAAGCTACTTTCTCTATGTCTCAATTTTTCCATCTGAAAATTAGGATAATAATAGTACCTTCCTGAAAGGGTTATTGTAAGGATTAAATGAATTGTCATATTTTAAGAACTTCAAACAGAATGACTTACGGTAAGCACTCAAGAAATGTTAGCTATTATCATTATTACCATTATAATTTTATTCACATTTTAAATGACAGTGAAAAAATATTCATTGTCAAGATCAAAGAATGTCGTTATCACCATTATTGGGGGGGTTATTATATAAAGTTGGTTGGGTAGAGTTGTTAGAGATTCAAATGGGGCAGACAAAGCTCAAGTCACCTTGGTGCAACAACTGTGTTTGGCAAATTATTTTATTTCACTAAGCCTTACATTCCTCATTTGTAAAATGACAATAGTAATAGTCACAGTGTTGTTCTAAGGATTAACTGAGACAAAATAAAGCACTTATTACAGTGCCTAACATATAGTTACTGCTTAATAAGTGGTAATTATTTATCATTCTAATTTGATTAGTGACAGTAAGCTACTAAATATTAGCTAGGGGCCTGTGAAAATGTCTAGGCTGGAAAGAGAAGTCCAGACGTCTCTTTTTTTTTTTTTTTTTGAGACAGAGTCTGACTCTGTTGCCCGGGCTAGGGTGCCGTGGTGTCAGCCTAGCTCACAGCAACCTCAAACTCCTGGGCTCAAGCGATCCTCCTGCCTCAGCCTCCCAAGTAGCTGGGACTACAGGCATGCACCACCATGCCCAGCTAATTTTTTCTATATATATATTTTTTTAGTTGTCCAGCTAATTTCTTTCTATTTTTAGTAGAGACGGGGTCTTGCTCTTGTTCAGGCTGGTCTCGAACTCCTGACCTTGAGGGATCCACCCGCTTTAGGATTACAGGTGTGAGCTACCGTGCCGGCCGGCAGGCATCTCTTAATATTGCTATTTGCTCCACCAGTGTGGAAGTCCGAGTGCTTACAAGCTTGTTCTTGAGCTGAATTAGACCCCAACCTAAGTCAGCAGTCTCCAGCTGGCAGTACCCCACAGCCTAATCCTGTCCAAGCAAGCATTATGGCTTTGAAGGAAAATCAGGATGTTTCTAGGTGGCCTATGGAACAATAATGGAGCTTTTTTTTTTTTTTTAACCTAGTGATATCAGCAGTTTATTTTCTGAAAATATTACCTGCTGAATTGGTATCTTAAGAATTCTTCTTTCTTCCCTACCTGCCTTGCCAAAATACTGAAATCTAAATGATCTTAGGTCCTTCCTGGGCTGCCTCACGACCCAGCAAGAAATGAGATTTGGGATCAGAGGTGCCCGTGACTCAAATTATTGTTATTCAAGTAGCACTCAAGCCTGTAAGAAATAGAGCAGTGCAGTATAGGAATGTTTGAATGACCAGGCAGAACAAAGAGAAATTGGACCCTGCCCTGTAAACAAGCATTATCCATTTAGGGAAGGAGAGCAGCATAGAAGCCTGCAAATAGTAGAAGAAGCCAATGGCAGCACAAAGACCAGGATCATTTCTTTTATATACATTTGCAGCTACTTGTTTGGGAGCAGACAGTTACAAAACATTACGGAGGAAGAGGCTGTTAAAGAATATTTTTTGTTTGGGCGTAGTGGCTCACGCCTGTAATCCTAGCACTCAGAGAGGTGGAGGCAGGAGCGTCGCTTGAGCTCAGGAGTTCGAGACCAGCCTGAGCAAGAACAAGAGCCCGTCACTACAAAAACATAGCCGGGCATGGTGGTGTACACCTCTATTCCCAGCTACTTGGGAGGCTGAGGCAAGAGGATCACTTGAGCCCACAAGTTTGAGGTTGCAGTGAGTACGATGACACCACTGCACTCTAGCCAGGGTGACAGAGTGAGACTTGGTCTCCAAAAACAAAAAAAAAGAATATTTTCCTAGAAAGAATGTTTTATTTATTTTTTAGAGACAAGGTCTCACTCTGTTGCCTAAGCTGGAATGCAGTAGCCACATCATAGCTCGCTGAAACCTCAAAACTACTGAGCTCAAGTGATCCTCTCACCTCAGCCTCTCAAAGCACTGGAACTACAGGCATGAGCCACTGCACCCGGCCTAGAAAGAATTTTTAGATGCAGAAAATACTGCAGTCCTAACATTTATTAATTTATCCATTCAACAAACTATGGGCAAGTGTCTGGAATACGAAGATAAATAAAACTTATTCTTAGTACCAAAGAGCTCAGTCTGGAGAAGAAGAGATGAACAAATAAAAAGACAATTGTGATGCATCATGATAAGGAGGTTATGTCTCACAGTGGTCAAGAATATGGACTATAGTGTCAAACAGACATAGTTTGGAGTCTGCCTTTGCCATATATCTGCCCTTGGACAAGACCCTTAGCATCTCTGAGGCCAAGCTTCTTCATTTGTATGACAGGCACTGGTAGTTGCCAGTTAGTAAGACAAAACCACAAGAAGAAAAGGCTCTTTGCCCTTTATCCTTTGCCCTTTGCCCTTCACCATTCCTCCTACCTGGAACACAGATGGGAAAAACAACACACATCTTGTCTCCACAATAGCAAAAGCGACATGCTAAGAATTGTATTGTGGAGCCGCCATACCAGCCAGAGCCCATCTACCTCTAATTTATTGCTATTTGAGAAAAATAAGTTCACATTTGGTTAAGCCCTGTGGACAGGTTTCAACATGCAGCCAAATTCAACCACTAACTGATACAATCTGTAAACTGAGGATAATAACAGTATCTCCCCTGGGGTTCTTTTGAGCATTAAATAATGCATGCAAAGCACTTAGCATGACACCTGGTTCATAGACACACTCAACAAGTGGTAACTTAGAACTTTTTACTACTATTAGTACATCTATTATCCTTGTTAATATGATTATTGTATGTGCCAAAAGCAATAGGGGTTATAGAAAGATGTTACTCCCTCTGCCTGGGGGAGACACAACACGTTTTGCCCAGAATTGTTATATTTGACCTGGGTCTTTAAAAATGAGGAGGAGTTCCCCAGGTTATAGTTTCTGATAAAGGATGCATGCCCTGTGTATGGACTTAGGGGGAGTTTGGCACTGTCCACTG